CAGTGACCGTAATCACCCAGAACTTCGGAATATCCTATCATGAACGAAGTTTTGAAAAATACCCATGTATTTGTGGATGTACTACGTATGGCAAGGAGTGACGAAGTGAAGCAATGGGACGAAAGTGCCTTCGAAAAAGCTTTCAAATGGGCCGGTTACTTTGAAGAGGCAAGTTTACATGTTCTAAATTACTGTGCTTTTATATGAATACACGCATTTTGATCAGTTCTTGCTTATGATCTATTGGACAACAGATGCGTAGATGACGGCACCATAAAAAAATTTTGCTTTTTTATTACATAAAAAAATGGAGGGTCTGTACAGTAAAAGATCACAGAAGGCGTCAAAATGTGGTAAAAGCATCAGTGATACTCGACCAGCTGTATCTCCTGTCCTTTTTCCTGTTTTTTTACCACATTTTATCGTCATCTGCCATCTATTACTGAACAGATGCGCAGCATCATTGAATCCATTTGTTAATGTGATCAGATTTGAACTGTCATTATCTAGTTAGTTTCTTAGAAAATATCAATGATCTACCCTGTACAATTTGGCAGGAGCCGGATTTGTGGGGGTTCCAGAACCATGACCTAGCGGTCATTTACTTGTGCACAGCATACACAACACACGTTTCCACTCAGTGACATATACGTAAACATTGCGTATTTGTTAATCCCACTCTCCATTTTGTCTGTCTTAAAACGAAAATATACTTGCTGATCTATGTGTAGACACCAAACGTTGTACTGTCAGATTATGGCCTTTTAAAGCACACAAGTATTCTCACAAGCAATTAACTGGAAATTAAATAAGTTATGAGAATTGTGACAAATTTCTCAGCTGGAAGCTGTCATATTGAGAAAACACCAAATTTTCTGAACTAACTTACAAGCAAATGTAAGCAGGTTAAAGTAGAATTGTTCATCAGATGATGGAAATTTGGAATTCTTTGGTAATTATTTGTCTCTCTCTTCTTTGTCAGGTTTATCATAAGTTGCAGACAAAGCCTTCATTAGCAGAAAAACTGGATAAATATCTTGATAACTTCAATAAATCTGGGCAAATACACCTAGGAGATCTTAGATTATCCTTGGCAGTTCTTGATAAATCAAAGTCCTTACTCAGAAGGTTTCTACTTCAAAATCCTCATTTGTCAGAGAGCCAGTTCCACTTGACACTCAAACTATATGGCTTAACTGTAGGTGATACACAAAATTGTACCGACATTTCGGACTTTCTCACTGACTCTTTCCACTTGAGCCAAACAAGAGCTGCTGTACAACTGTTGTGTAAAATGAGAGATAGGTTGACTAAAGATATGAGATCTTTTCAAGGAAAGCCATTAAAGAAATGTGACTCATCAACTTCTTCGACAAGTCTAATGGAATTTCCAGGTTCAATTACCTCGGCAGACATTTCCATGAATGCAGCTGCACATTGTTTATTCAAGCATGTTCAGCATCAGTTAAAGTTTGGACTCAAAGGTAATTTAGTAGCCTTTCTTATTTATGTTTTTATGTTTTTAATGAAATTATCCAAGATCTTGGTACCACTTGAAAACCTTTTTGGAGTTTGAGAAAAAAAAATGGCATTGGTTAACCTTTTACTCCCTGCACTGTACTAAATACATTCACCGCTGCACAATTTTAATATTTTCATTCTTTAATTTTTATGACCTGATGATAAAGTGATGTAAACATGTCCAAAAAATATTACAAATGTTCCACTGTTGCCTTGTCTTCTCCATGAGTGAGTCTGGGAGTGGGAAGTCTTGAGATGTCATGAAAGTCATAAAAACTATTTACACTGTGCCAGCCACTGAGAATTAAAATTTTACTTCTGGCAACCATTTTTGATTTTCAGTCGCTAAAACCTTGGGCTTGGAACACTGTAATATTTCATATTAAGTAAGTAATTAGGCAGGTTCTGTACAGAAATATAGATGCAAAGCAAGAGTAGTTGCCTCATTCTCGTCATAATTTGTTTTGATGTTTGTAGATGTCAGCAAGAACAAGAGAGTCCTCTGTGACAAGCTGACAGAGCTAGCTAAGCAGGACAATGGACTGACAAGCATTATTGCATCACTGGTTTGGACTCCAGATGACTGTCAGTCTACTCAAGACTCCAAGACTGTCACTCAGCTAATTTTGGAGTGGGTCTTGGGTAGGTGTTAAGTGAAGGCATACAGAGGTTGAGATGGCAGAATAAGACTTAATAGTACTGTATGGGGAAAAAAAAATGAGATGTGGAAGTTGACATCCAAAAGGTGGTCCTTCCTGGTCAAACCGTAATTTGGAGGGTTGTTTTATGTGCAGTGAGGGGTATGGGAGAAGCTGGAATAAGTATGGATCAAGAATAAGAAAGATCAACTTACTCATGGAGGTGCTGGTCTTATCTTAAAAAAAAAAAGGAATACGGTCCATTCAGTCCAATTCCAGGTATTGTTAGTGTTTGATTTTCCAAGCTCTTAAGGGGAAATAACAAAACTGACAGCAGTAAAGTAATAGGCTTGTCCAAGTGGTAACTACCCATACTTTGGAGAAACAGGTTGTATGTCTGGGAACAAAACTGGAATGAGTGCTCTCACTATTACTGTGTCTGATTTGGAAATTTTTATTTGATCACGCATTGCGAGGTGTGAACAAACTTTTATTAAATCTTACAAAGTTACAAATTATATTGTAACTTTCAACAGAGTTCTTTGCCAGATGCAAACCAGATCCTCGTTTGATGACCACCCCTCCCCACATACTCACCAGAGTGGCCTTTATGTATCCTGCCTTTTTTGAACTGTACTTGTCCCATCTGCTGAGCTGGGCAGAGAATATGACCCCCTATGTCTGCAGCAACAAAGAGAAGTGTTGCACTCCGAGAGGAATTCAGTGGAGGTAAGAATCTGTTGTATGCAAAAAAGTGTTAACAGTCGGTGCCTTAAGTACCCTACCCTTGCTCTCACTGGGTGTCTTACTTAAATTTACTAAACTCGTTCAGTGTCAATATTTTATTTCTTTTAGGTCTGGTTATCATTTTAATCAACCCGATTTGTCGCATGTAGTGCTCCCCCCTCAGTCCAAAATTACCTGCAGACAGCCGTAAATTTTGTGCGTTTTACAGGCGATTGGAGAAAAACGCGCGGCGAGCACGAAGAGCAAGTAACGCAATAAGAGAAGAGCAAAGAAAAAAAAAATTTTTAATGGCGTTCTTACCCCTCGTGCATGACTCGCACCTCCGTTTCGCCCGAAAAACGCATAAAAATTGCGCCTGTTTTGCAGGCTTAAAGGAAACGGACCCCCAGAATTATTTTGGGGTTTATATCCGCTAGCGGGGGAAGGGGTATAAAATCCGCGGTGTATAAAGCTGCGGGGTCCAAATCCGCTGTGACACCAGTATCCCCTTTTAGAGAGTAATTTCTATGGATCATTTCGGTGAACGAGATTTCGTTTATCTCGATTCCTCAAGAAATAAAAGCACTTTCAAATTTTCTGTAATGGGGTCATTTCGTTTCTTTCCTATTTCAGATACCAGGTCCAAGAACGTTCGGTGAGACTTCAAGACATTGAAAATGGACACCTTGCATTTACAAATCTCGCTGATCACCTGAGGCTTCTAATAACTGGGCCTGCGTCTGTTGCTGATGCAACATACAGAGAACTTCAATGTCGGTTTGTCGAGAGAGAATCAGTAATTGATAGTCGTCGATGTAGAAATACTTTTGATTCACTGAATTTGAACATTTGGGAAGACCTTGGAGCTTTGTTACGTTCAAATACAAACTTTTGACGACTGTGGCAAATTAGCGAACTTAAAATGCGTTTTTCTTTGCTGACTTTTCTTGTTTTTCCTTCATCTTTGTCGTAGGAAATATACTAACCAAGATTTATAGTAAATATAAATGCTTTCTCGCTAACTTCTGCGCCAAACAAACGGAACATGGTTGAAGTTTTAGCGTTTGTATTGAACTTTCTCGTTGCAATTAGCACAATGAATAGTGATAGTTCATAGCTTTACCTTTTCTCCAGTTTCAAATGTTCCATCTTTCAACCGAGAAACAAAGTTATTAAAAATTAGACAATCATCAACTCAGGTTGTTAACCAGCAGTAAAAAGCCTTTCGATTTCCTTATCACTGATGGTTCTCAGAAGTTTTGAGACCAATCTTCCGTTGAGTGTCAAAAGTAATCCGAGATTGTATTGGTTTTGCTGTACTTAGCACTGATTGGTTTAGGAAAGTCGCGAAACTTTCTCCACCAATCAAATGCAAAACTAATACCAATCACAACTTGGTTGCCCGCGTTTTCCCGCGCTTTAGGCAGTTTGGTTGTTTTTGCCTATAGTTCTCATGGGCTTTTGAGGGTATTTTTCCGTCTTCTGATTGAATGTTGTAATAACGTTGGTTTTGGTTCAACGACACTGAATCGAAAAGCACTATATGTGTAGATTTAATCAGAAGTATAAAATATCCTTGGAATTTCTCGTACCGCACACTTTGAGGAATCATCTGAACTAATTTTAAATAAAAACAAGCTTAACTCGTCTCTCTGTTTGCTCCTTTCAATTGTTAGTTTTTCCTTTGTTTGTTTGTTTTTTTTGTTATGTGTACGGAGGGCAAATGAGACAACTTGCGTCAGCCTTTAAGGTTTCTGAATTTGCGCTGTGCTGCAGGTAGTTGGAAATGAAGACTATTGATCCTGGTTGTTTAAAGATTCACAAAGTTTTCATTCCGCCATGAGGAGCAAGTCATGGTCTACTTCGATCTAGCTAAGTTAAACTCCTAAGTCCGAGCAAACCGCACTAAAATGATCAAAGAAACCTGTTTCGCCTAAACAACGAAACATTACAGAAATCCAAGACACAGGAGAAACTGAAAAAAAATTACAAGTTGCCATGGTGAAAGCCATGGTGACAGTCTCTCAGAACTCCCTTACGTTGCTAAGGATACAGCCGAGCACGTGTTCTCGCAAAGTATACTGGGAATGGAAGAGGCTTGGTCGCGCAGGCTGGCGCGAAAAGAAAGAAATTCGACAAAAAGGAGAACGACTACCTTCTTATCTATGATATAATACCAATCATTTTGTTTGCACTAAGTAGAAAATGCCAGATGAGGAAAGAGTGAGGAAAAAACGGTTGGTTTCAATGCTATTATTCTGTGACGTTTGGCACCATGTGTTTGACTACCTGTAGTTTACGATTATGCCGTGACAAGTTTTTCATTAAAATTTTTTGCCGCCTTCGATTATCATTATCCTTTAGACGAAAGCTCGATTCCATAATCAGTAAACTGCATCAGACGAATCCATCGGAAAAAGAGGGCACAGGAAGGGAAGAAAAGCAGGTAACATGTTTATTTTGCTATCCAGGTTGCGTGAATTTTCGTGCCGGCATGAGTATGTTTGTGTGTGATCGACGATTATGTGACATCAGAATACCAACCACTATTTACATATCAAGCATTGATTAACATTATGGTCAATTTTACGCTACGCTATTAAGGAAAATTTGTCTTTGTAACGTTTTCTGGAGGTTATATTTTCAGTTTGTTGTTCAGTTTAACTGGAGTTGTCTGCAAAATATCTGGCATGGTATTTTGTACTTTGTGTTCTGTTTGATTCATAATTATGACACTTGTTTTTGTTCTTAAGACAATTTCGATTTCGTCGTAGTTAAGAGTCGAATTAATGGAACGATTTATTTAAAGCTGTGCCATAGGTGAAATGATAACTGAAGAAGCATAAAAGTCCTTCAGCAGCGAAGCAGATTTCATTCCACGCACTGCTCGCTTTTTTAACTCGAAGATCGATTACAGACTTCGGTGAAAAACACTCACATGATTTAACCGGAATAGAAATAAAAGATTGCTTAGTACTTAATAGTTCCTTGTTTTGGCTAACCTGAAACTTAACCACTTTCTGCTTGCAAAAGAAGTCGTGAACCAAGAGCTGTGAAAAGTTATTAGTACCGAAATTTATCGCAAGAAATGTAAACTGTGAAAATTAACAAACATTTATGCGAACGTTGCATTTTGTCTAAAATATTAATGCAGTATTATTCAGAGACTTTTTCGTAAGCCTTAGAGAAAAAAAAAAGGTAGAGCAAATTAGTGCTTAATGGCACAAATATGTGTTGTTTTAACATATATTTGCTTAGCTTTTACCTACCTCTTTTTCCACGTTTGACCAATCTTTTTGGATCTAAAAAGTAAAGGAAAGATTTTTATTTATCATATAAACTGCGGTGTTTTTACAGGTATTTCCAGCCCTGAAGAAAAGCCATAACAGCATATATGTAAAATTACGTAGTTTTATTAAAAATTTGTGTTTGATTTCACCAATCAGCTGTTGACGCATCACTTGCTTTTCGTGCCACTTTATCAGGTTGATGAATAAATGGCAAAGCCTTCACCATTCTCAGTCCAAGGTGGTACCGGTATATCAAAATTTTCTCGGTTTATGGCTGCTACAAACACTGACAAATTCATTTTGCTTACAGACAGTGATGTTCAAAATTTCCTAGAAGCAGATGAAAACCAAAATATGTTTAGAAAAATCGAAAAGTTACATACTTGGCTTTGTTAATGGGATTTCTTGCAGCTGGGAATGAAAAGTGACAACTGAAAGATTTGCCATAGGCTGATTTTGGCTGTGTACCTGAAAATATTTCTTCTCTCTGTAAGGAAAAAGTCGATAACTTAGAATTTTGTGAATTGAAAGTTATGCCTATTGTTTGTTTTTGTAATGATTCTATGCATTTTTTTCATCTTGAGTCTTATCATGCTTATTGCCAATGCACTTTAAAACTTTTTTCGTAGATTGTGGATCCTACTTTTTTTCATTCATCAATGAAGTCAACTTTTCTTGTCAGTTAAGGTCTTTTGTGTTAACGAGATAAACAAAATACTTTATGGTTGCTTTTGGATATGGAATGTCTCATCTCATGTTCAACTTGATACCTTATATGTTTGCTGTGCTCACTCATGAGCTATCAATTTGAATGCTTGAAGAGAAATTCCATATCTACATATGTATAATTCTCTCTATGTACTATAGATAATTTTGCTGTTACCAAATAAAGTTATCCTACTAAGCTTTTTCACTTCACACCCTTAACATCAGTATGCTTAAAAATAATGATAAATAAAATATTTATATATTTTATTTATTAAAAAAAGGAACATTCTAAAGAAATTAAAAGTAATTACAAAAGGCTTTTTTAAAAAAAGACATTGACAAACTGTTTTTAATGACATATGGTAAAGCATTCCATAGTTGTGGGGCTGCCACAGAGGAGAACCTTTTTAAGTTGTATGACAGAGTAAAAAGAAGATGTTTGGATAATGAACTTAATTGATATGATGGAGTGAAGGATGTAAGCACATGTGCGACGATGCAAGTTGTTGAGTGCCTTTTAGGTTGTGAGTAAAATCTTAAAAATGATATGGTGAAGAGAACATACATACTGATATTAGGTTGTAATTGCCATGATCATTACCAGTCAATCCCACTTATTCCTCCCTCTTGACAGCAGGAGGCAGTATTCAAACTACAGTGTTATATTGAACAGACACCAAATTAAATTGACACTTTGTATTAACTCTTAGACCCTTTAGTGTGATTGCCATTTAATTTCTCCTTACAATATCACCCCTGAATCATCACATTAAGGTCACCAGAATAAAGGAAATGATCTTTAACTAGAGAAGCTCTTGGTTGTTAAACAAATTTTCTTTGTCAGCACGTTATTAAATGTGTAGATTACAAGTCACTATGTACGAAGTGAACATCTGATGTTCTCATTTTGTTTTTTCCTCCATACTGTTCAACAAACTGTATCGAGGAGAAGCCCCTATTAATAAGAAGTAGATGCTAAATTTGAGAATTTTTCAGCTATTAATCTTGTATTTAGTGGAGACTTCAAGAGGTTTTACTAAAAGTTATCTATTGAAAGGAAAATTTGTGGGTTTGAAATCTTAGTAACTTCATGTTATTAAAATAAAACTTACAATAAAATGTGCTTAATTAAAAACTGTATAAATTTAACAAACAGATTCCATGTTGCAGTGGATCTGTTCATTAGTTGATCATAGCAGATGTCAAAATGTGATAAGAGCAGAGAGTGGCATATGAAGCTGATGCAAGTACATGTATCTTGCTGATGTTCGTACCAGATTTTTGATGTCTCTGTGATCCATTACTGTACAAACCCACAGCAACATGGAATCTTTTTTTTCTGATCTGATTAAAAGTAAAGTGTCAATGGTGATGCATCTGTCCATTTAACAAATAGATTCCAAGTTGCTGTGCATCTGTTTTTGACGTCCTCTGTGATCTATTACTGAACAGACGCATGGCAACTTGGAATCTATTTGTTTTATATAATAAATAATTTTAAAAAGTTTTAATGATGACATCATCTATATGTCTGCCCTCCAATAGATCATAAGTGAGAACCAATCAGAATGCGTGCATAACTGAGCTTATTATATAATAATTAATAGATGTTTTAACTTTTGATGGAATTAACAATGCTCTCTGACTCTATCTTGGCAAATAAAATATTTGTAATGATATTTAAAGGAAAGAAATAAAGCAACAGTTTTTTTTAATTACCTTCCCCTTAATAGATTAAAATTACAAAACTCTAAATGCTTTTGAAGTTTCATAAATCTTGTTTGTACTAGGACACTTTGCATCTGCGCACTGTTATTTACCTTTACTGTGAAAGATATGCCTCTACACTTTCAAGGGTTTCAATTAAAGGCAGTTACCAGTTGCCTACAGCCACCTATAGGACCTCTTTTTTTTGTCTGTTAACCCTTTCACTCTTAAGATCTCGTTACTAACTCTCCTTACTTTCAGCTTTACAACTGGTATGATGTGAGTTTGAGGAATTCGGTTGGATCAACTAATAGTCCCCCAGTTACATTTCTTCTTAATTCCCATCACCTGTCTGCTTGATATTGCATTGACATTGTAAGGAGAAGTTCTCTCTTGGTCGTTCATGGGAGTTAAAGGGTTAAGTCTGTGAGTAGGCTCTCCTGTTTGGGGTTTTTTTATTACAACCCCCTTTTCCAGGCAAAGCCAGCTACTACATGAACAGCAGCTGCCTATAGAAAAAGTCTGCTTTGATAAGATTTTATTGTACACACCATATTTTTAAATGAGTGGTTATCTCCTGCAGAATGATGCAAAGAAAGAAAATGTTGATGCTAATGAAACAGGAGAATCACTTCCAAGGTCATCAAGAAGGTAACGATTCTTATATGTTAGATACATCAGTACTCTGTGGTTTGAATCATGAATTATGCCAGAAATGTAGTTGAAAGATGCACAAAATAGAATTATCTTTTCTTCTGGTGTCTTCATAAAACTAAGTGAAGGCCAGTTTTGAATTATGCTGATTCTCAGTGTTTAAAAGGCGGATTTTGTAGGGAATTAGACATTGAAGATGAGAGAATATTTGGTCATGATTTTTATGGTTTTAGTTTTCTTTTTCTTTTCTTTATTCACACCCACAATAATAATTATGCAGTCCCCCTTGCCACTGTCTATTTGTATATTTGAATCACCCACAACAATAATTATGCAGTCCCCCTTGCCACTGTCTATTTGTATATTTGAATGAAACCCTGTTTGATGAGAATGTTTCATTGGGTGAATCCAAAAAAATTATTATCCTTACAGGAAAGCAGCTGCAGCAGCAGTAAAACAAAAGCACCATGACAAGGAACCAGTCACTTGCCAAGAAGGAGAGGTAGATGAAGAAGCTCATGGCATCGAAAATGGCATGGATATTGATGAGGAACAGAAAGTTCCTTGTATTGAAGAAGATTGTGTTATTGAAGAGGTACCACCTGATAATGATCCAGTGGTAAAACAAGAACCTGTTGAAAACTATGAGAACTCCTTAGATGGTCTTCAGAAAATGCTGGGGTATGATATTAGCGAAGAGGTACAGAAGCAGAAGGAACAGGGGGGTGAGAAGAAAAAGGAGAAGCAGATTTCTGAAAATTCAGATGCTGATGGTAAGGCTTGTAATGGTAATTCTCTTTGCACAGTTGTAACTAAGGCACCACCTTTAAAACAATGTATAGATGTTGAAGGAAAAAAGCTCCTTAAGGTGAATAAGACATTTTTCACCCACTTGTTTCAATTGTAATCGAAATAAATTTTGAATATGAAACTCTGTTAAGGCCTGAGGAGCTAGTGTAGGATTACCGGTAGGTTGCAGTCAAAAGGCAACTGGGACAGATAATGTCACCATTTACTATATGGATCATTTTATTAGCAGAAAAGCTTTGCTTTTGCGGCACAGTACACCACTGAGCTAGCTTTTTTGGATTTTCTCACTATCTCTGGGGCAATATTTATAAAAATCTCAGTGATCAAAGTCAATAGCTTAACTTGGTTGAGAAGCAAAACAGTTTTAATCCTTATTTAGTATGGACAAGGTCCGAATTGAAGTGGCAGTAAATTTGTGAAATGTTGATGTTCAGTAAATGTTAAACGTAAGCAGACCAGGCGATAAACTGGTTGCAGTTACATGTGTTTCACCTTATTTTCGATGGTATATATTTTTACTCTTTTATATTGTCATTAGCACTAAACAGTCTTTATACCAAACATAATATTGGTTTGAAATTTTAACCTTTTTTAATTTTAAATTTTCAGTTGAGTTACCCCGAAGAGTTCAGTGTACAGCTTGCGGAAGACAAGTGAACCCTGCTCATGGTACTGTCTGTAGACACCCAAACTTGAATGTCTTGGTGTGTAAAGTAAGTACATACACATGTTTGGTATCACAGTCGCCTCCTTATGAGATGAACATTTTAAAAGCAGGAAAAAAAAGTAGATAGGTATCTTTTTGTTTTGACACAATTTGCAAAAAATGTCGACTTTCGCTTTGACTTTTTGCTTTCAGTTATTTACTGTTGCGCAGAGACTTATAGAAGACGAATTAAATTTTTCCTCAGTGCGTCTCTCTCTAATTTCCTTTTATTTTTTGTTTTTACATAGAAATGCAGTCGGTACTTCAATTCTGGGCCGTTTACTCGTGACGAATTTGGTGTAGAGGAACAGTGTCGATGGTGTGGTGATGGAGGTTCGCTTCTCTGCTGTGACAAGTGCGAGAAGGCATTTTGCAAAACTTGTATTAAACGTAACCTTGGCAAGGCAAAGCTCAAAGAGATCGTGGATGCACCGGAAGACACTGAATGGTTATGCTTTTGTTGTAATTCTAAACCTTTATCGCAGCTAGTAAAAGCATGTAATCGAATTATGGACATTCTGGATTCGCGCAAAGCCCAAAAAAGTCTCTTTAAATCGAAAAAGGGATCTTCGTTAAAGGAGACCCCTAACCAAAAGGAACGACGGAGCAGACTGTGCAGTATAAGTGAGAATATGGGAATGAGCTCTGATGGCGCATTGTCACCCAGTGAAAGTCCAACAAAGAAGAGTGCGGCTGCTAATCGCGTCAGTGTCAATGATGATGATTGTAAAGATGACGAGGACGATGGTGGAAATGATTCGGATCGAAAGAAAGACAGAAAATGCAGCTCTAAAGTTGCAAACAAGAAAAATGGAAAGAAAAATGGGTCTACTAAAGAGGATGTTTTGGTGGTTGTTGACAGCGATAGTGATGATGATGTGGTGGTCACCAGCTCTAGGAGTAAAGGGAACAACAAAAAGGTTCAGGCGAAGAGTACAAGTAAAAACAAACCACAAATGAGTGGCGAATCAGTTGGGAAAAATAACAAAAAAGACAATAAGAAAAGCAAAGTGAAAAACAGTAGAACTAGAAAAGATTCATCAAGTGAATCAGATTCTCATGAGAAAAACAAAGATTTAAAGCGAAAGTCGAAAGCTGTAAAAAAGACGAAGCGCAAAGATAAAAGTGAAGAGGAAGATTCAGACTTTTCAGACTTTGTTTCTATGGTGAAAACTAAAGACGATCATCAAAAGGAGAAGAAGGTTAAGAAGCAGAAAGGAAAAGGAAAGAAACAAGCCATTTCAGATTCAGGGAAAGAATCTGAGGACGAGAGAGACAATGAAAGAAGAAAGACACGCTCTAAAAAGGCAAGCGTGTCACAAAAACAAACTAGAAAACGCCCGCGGAGGGTAACTTCTTCAGAGGAGGAGTCCAGTTCCTCCGATGAGGAGAAATCTGACAGTGATGTGCCAGCTAAAAAGAGGAAAAAACAGCAGGCTAAAAAGAACAGAAAGATACAGAGGATAGCTTCAGAAGACAGTGATGAATCTGATGAAGAGATTGCCAGCAAAAAGAAGGGCAAATCAAGGAAGAAAACTAAAAGTAGTAGTTCTGAATCTGACGACGATAGTAAGAAGAAAAGAAAACGGAAGGGAAAAGGGAAAGAGAAAAAAGGACGAAAGAAACACCAAATTGGTAAGGATAATGACGACTCGGAAAATAATGAAGACGAAGAAGAAGAAGAGGAGGAGGTGAGCCCATCGAAAAAGAAAGGTCGTAAGAAAATTCGGAAACTAATTGAAGACGAGAAACTTGCCGAAGAAACCCGAAAGGCCAGAAGGCTCGAGGAAGAGAGGCGGAAACGCCTTTTAGAAAGGACTCGTGCCAGTGAACTTGATGACTTGCCAAGTGAGTCGACCAAAGTCTCCACACTTGTTCTTGAGGCTGACCCAGACACCAAGGAGCCGTTAGTCCAGATTAAAGAGGATCTTCTGCAGCATCTGAAACCTCATCAAAGCAAAGGGATACAGTTCATGTATGACTGTGTTATTGAGTCGTTAAAGTCATGGAAGAAAGAAGAGCCAGGTGGAGGCTGTATACTGGCCCACTGTATGGGTCTCGGCAAAACGCTGCAGGTATTTTGAGAACTTTTGATGGAGCTATTTTGAAGTAACAGTAGGAGGTAAACCAGGATTGCATCGGTCTTACTTAACTTTTTTGATTTAGTATGTAATTGGTCTAGAAAACGCGCGCCTTTTTCTCGACCAATCAGATGTAAAACCAGAAATAATTGCGACTTGGTCACTCGCATTTCCCGCTCTTTTTTTCAGTTTAGCCACCTCCGTTATTTTACCTTTGTTCTTATATGCCGTTGTGATTAATCTGATTTTGGTCTAAGGAGAAGCAATCGAGATCCGCTGTATGGGCAGTTTTGCTATTTTCATTGGCTGTGCTTATATCGACTATAGCATAATACCAGCGAGCCCGCGAGAATCTCTACAGTTGTTGTAAAAACGTGGGTATTTCTCTCTCAGGTCGTTGCACTTGTCCATACACTGATGACCCATTCAGATATCAAGTTACAAAGGGTGTTAGTTGTGGCTCCTCTCAACACAGTGTTGAACTGGCAAGTCGAGTTTGAAAAGTGGCTAGCTGTGGATGACAGGCTCGAGGTAATAACAAGTTGTCTTGTTGAGCGTTACTGGTGTGTCTTTCAGACTATTACTAACCAGGAGACAGCAACAATACCGTGACAAATGTCTAAAAAAGTCTGAATAAGAATCGTTTTTGAATGAACTCAAGAGGAAGTCACTGATCTTTGATGTGTTCGAACTTTATCTTGGAAAAAAATGTTTAGTGCATTGTATACCCTTTTTCAAAAGAAGTGATCAGATTAAAATTTAGTGTGACCTCTATTGGACGGGAACGACCCCTTATAATTTTCTTTTTTCAAGGTTTATATCCTTCAGGAAGTTGGAGGAAACAATTGGCGTCGAGCAGACATGCTCACACATTGGATGCGGTATGGTGGTGTGCTGATCATGGGATACTCGCTCTACCGTAACCTGTCACAATGCTACAGGATTAGAAGCAAACACCAGAAGAAGTTATTCCAGGAAGCTCTGGTTGATCCTGGTACGGTGAACTTTGACTTCAGTTACTGTTGTTGGTCCAACGACTTTCGCAAAAAAGGTTTCTTAAAATAGCAGACGTGGTTGATTTGGAAGCACAAAACTTTTAATTTACATTAGATCTTGATAAAAGTTAAGAATTATTCCAAGACAGCTCAATTTCAAATGCGTCACATTGATTAGTAGTATGCGATTCTATTGTTGTCCACAAATCCACTACTATAGAGCGATGCTATGGACGTGTCTCTGAGGTGTTTTGCTGATTAACTCTCTTTACTTTCTAGGTCCTGATTTGGTAGTTTGTGATGAAGGTCATATCTTGCGGAATGACGCCAGTGCCATCTCCAAAGCTCTCAATGCCATAAAGACAAAACGACGAATTGTGTTGACTGGAACACCTCTGCAGAATAATCTCATTGAATGTATGTTCTCATGAAATGATTACCTTTTAATTATTAGTTTATGGGCTCAAGATTTCTATCGCGAGATAGAATGTAGTTGGTTAGGGCGAAGTCCGAATAGCCTACCACGCGTAGAAATAAAGAGCAAATAATTGAATTTTTGATATGAATCTATTAGTCCTTCAATATTTAACAACAAGACAGGCTCGTTATTAAGATAAATTTAAGATTCAAGGGGAAATTTTTCAAAGACATGTTTCGACACGACTTCATGCCATCATCAGGTTCATGTGTTGAGCCGTTAACTTTTGTTTTTACGCGTTACAAGCAGATACGTTGTAGGTTTCCTCGTGAATCTGAAGTTTATTTCAATCATATTGTTATCACGAAGCTTTGGAAGTCTTAAGACAGGCTCATGTTTTTAATTTTGGGTACTGTTAGACTGCTATGCAAACCTGACAAAATATTTGGGTTAGTATAGTAGTGAGGAACTAAAATCACCACTCATGGCAATTGAAAACCAACCAATCGAAGCGGAACATTACGCTTCGTAAGGCAACGCCGAATTATTTGACCTTGTTCCCTAAAAAGACCAACATTATGCAGTCAAAACGCTGCGACATCAAAAGTGACTGCATCTTAAGGGACACGATAATTCTTGACTGTAACTCTTGAATGACTTCAACCTTTATTTTTTAGACAATCGGGTATTAGCATGCTGCAATTACTCATCCCACACAAATTAATTTGCAGATCACTGTATGGTGAGTTTTGTGAAACCAAATCTCCTTGGTACGCGTAAAGAATTTACGAACACGTTTGTCAATCCCATCCAAAACGGCCAGTGTGCAGATTCTACAGCTCTTGATGTTCAGATTATGAAACAACGATGCCATGTGCTTCATAAGATGTTAGAAGGCTGTGTGCAGGTGAGTGGAATCACGTGCCGTACGTATTAGATTTGAAATTCACCATATACTGCTTCTTACAGCAAAAATGACGCACTCAGTTTTCGCGATGTTCATTGCGGATTATCAAAAGTTGGGATAAACTCTACCTTTAGATATAAACGAAACTTAAAATCTTTGAATTTTTTAGTAAACAAAGTCGCTAAAAACTCCCTAACCGTTTCTTTTCTTTCTCTTTTCCAAAAGAGAAAAGATTACGCGGCGCTGATACCTTTTCTTCCACGTAAACATGAGTATGTGATCAAGGTTCGGTTATCAGCATCCCAGAGGAAGCTGTATGAACATTACCTCAAGACATTTGTGTTTCCTGATGGGGACGTTGGAAAAAGAGGTAGGGAGGTGTATTTGACGTAATTGAGCACTGTTGTTGTTGTTGCTGCTGTTAACGGAATAATTTACAAAAGCACTAAGATCGAAACGGGAATGGGGCTTTGAAAGTTTGAAACAATTTGCGTTTGTCAGATTACTTGGCGGAGCAACAGTTGAATAAATCGCTGGGTTTATGGTCACGAAAACCGCTCTGTTTGAACGTCTGGTACACGGCTTGTATTTTTATATTTTCTTGCCTGGTTTTTGTTGTTTTTGTTTTTTTTTTTGCTTTAAAGATCAGTAGGATATTGTTAATTCGCTATGAATTAGGGAGTGATGAGTGTGCAACTATGCCCCTAGACACTGACATGCAACCATGTTGGAGCTTAACATGTATATCAACAGCAAAAGCTAAACATCAACTCTGATTTAAATCACTTTTCTGAAACCAATCCTGTATAAGAGTAGTGGAAAATTATTGTTTCCATTAAGCAGATATTTTCACTTTAGTTTTGCAAAGGCTTGGAGGAGACCATAGGCAGTTCAGTTTTTTATCTTTTGCCGTAAACGCAATGTTCAATCTCTATAATGGGTATTTTAATTTTGCTCCTAGGGGTTTCCCTTTTCTCGGACTATCAGTGTCTGATGCGTATTTGGACTCATCCCTGGTGCCTGAAGCTGGATGCTCTGCGACGGCCAGAACAGTTTGTCGATACAGACAGTATGGACGACTTTGTGGTACACACTGACGAAGAAGAAGAAGAAGAGGAAGGATCAGAAAGCGTTCAGTCAACAACTTCAGAGGAAGGAGAAGACGAAGTTCAGTCTTCATCTGAGAGTGAAGATGAAAGAAAACGAGTTAAGGGCAGGAGAAGAAAGAAGTATTCAAGCTCAGACGAGGAGGAAAGTGATGACGATGAAAACGAAAGCGAGGATGAAGTTCTTCCGCAGTCCTCAAGGAAGAAATCTGCGCTCGCCAGCAAAGCTTCTTCAGCTTCAAACAGGGCTGGCTCCTCTACTGTGAACATTGGTGGAGAGGACATAACAGTAGTGGATATCAACGAAGGTGCGAGTACCAGTCGTGTTGGACCTAATTCTAGTAACAACGATACTCGCAACAGCAAGAAAGATGTTTCAGTGAGAGACGATGCGTCACCGTCAACAAGTAAAGACATACAAAATAGCGAGACGAGCAGCAGTGTTTTTGGCAGCACACGGTCGGGGGCGTCTTTCAAAGACGAGCCGGACGTGGAGATCGAGGAGGAAAAGGAATGGTACGATGAATTCCTACAGGAAGATGACGAATACAACGTGGAACTTAGCGGCAAGCTTGTTCTTCTGATGGAGATCCTTGCTGATGCAGAGGCGGTGAATGATAAAGTACTAGTCTTCAGTCAGAGCCTGGTTACCCTTGATTTGATAGAGAAGATGCTTGGCGGTGGAGAAATCGGTGGCGATAGAGAGAACTGGTGTCGAGGTTGTGACTATTTTCGAATGGATGGATCCACAAGTGCGGCTATGAGACAGCGCTGGGCTGATATTTTTAACGATGATGATAACAAAACGTAAGTTACAAGTGATAACTGATTTATATTTTATTTGTTTAGTAGGAGATAAGTGATGGATTCACTCTTATGCGCAATTGTATTTCAAGTGTGGTAGACAGTAAATCCTTATTCATTGTTTTGAGATGAGCGTTCGCTTCGTCCATCAGTTCTGGACAGGAAAGATGCTCTATTCAGCCAATCATTGTGGGATATTAACGTCAAACTATAATTTGTAGCCATTAAAGTCGATTCTTGCATTTACTCGAAATATGCGTTTGGGAATCAACCGTGGTACATTGGAGTCAAACCGTAATTGCTCGGTTGCCTTCGAACCAGGAAAAACTGTTTTATTGAAACAATTTAAATTAATTAAAACCTCTTGAGTCTCTGAAGTGAGATTTTTTTTTATTCCATGTGTAATGAAACCATATGCAAATTTAAAAAAAAGAAAGGAAAAAAGGGGGGCAAACAACATTAAGGTGCTGTTTACCTTTGGTTTTGCATCTGCTTATTTGAGAGGGTAGTGCGATTTTTACCAGACCAATCATAGAGCAAGGTAAGCTGATAGCAGTGCTATCGTGTATCTTTTTGCGCTCAGTTAAGTATTTCACCGCAGAACAGTGTTTATTGAAAAGTTCTTTCGAGTGAACCTAACCATAGAAAATAGAACTGACCACGTTTGTATTTTCCCCTAGGGCTCGCTTGTTTCTTATCTCGACCAAGGCTGGTGGACTGGGAATCAATCTAGTGGCAGCCAACCGAGTTGTGGTATTTGACGTGTCATGGAATCCCTCACACGATGTACAGTCAATCTTCAGGGTTTACCGGTTTGGACAGAGCAAGGCTGTGTTTGTTTACAGACTTATAGCACAGGTAAGAGCGTAATGTAGCCGTCCTATGACATTTAGAATTGCTCACATGATTTACTTTCTGACTCGTGTTAATGGCTATTCAGTCAGAGTCAGGGGAAGCGCAAAGCATCTTTTGATTCGGAAATCGACCGTCGACGGTAGGAATCTGGAGCAAAACACACGAGAGTATCGCGTCTCATGCGCGATGCTCGTTCATATGACTACTACGGAAATGAATTTAAGAGATCCTCGCAGCTGAGAACACTACTGAACTAGTAGTTGAAAATAGGACCTGAAAAAAATTCAGGCTCGTACGGGATTTGAACCATGACCTCTGCGATACCGGTGTAGCGCTCTACCAACTGAGCTAACATGTTGGGTCCAAATAAATTCGTTTCTTCACCGCAGTGCCAATATATGAATTTCATATATCTCACATCATTATTCATCACTTGGATGGTTTATTTGGACCCAACATATTGCCCAGCTCCCAGTTGGCTTGTTAGCTCAGTTGGTAGAGCGCTGCACCGGTATCGCAGAGGTCACGGGTTCAAATCCCGTGCGGGCCTGAATTTTTTTCAGGTCCTATTTTCAACTACTAGTTCATTAGCGTTCTTAGCGGCGAGGATCTCTTTAAATTCGTTTCTTCACCGCAGTGCAAATATATGAATTTCATATAGCTAAAATCATTTTACTACGGAAATGTTTCGTTGACGAGTTGCCACGCACGCTGTTCGCGACTGTGTATCCTTTTCGCGTCTACTTCAGAGTGGCTAAGCGTGCAATTTTGGCACTGCAGAACTTGATTAAATGACACTGTCTGAATAACATGTATTGTTTGATGAGTGGTGATCCATAACATCCATATTGGGTTTAACACTTAGTATCTTTTGTTAGGGAACGATGGAGGAGAAGATATACGATAGACAGGTTAGTATGATATGATAAGTATTATGGCAGGATTGCTGACCTTGTTGCAGCTGTGAAAAAAAGTAGATAATTAAGCTAACAAAATAGAAAGAAATTAAAAAAAAAAATCACACTATATTAGGAGAACACTCAGTCCCCTATACTTCTCTCAAAAGGAGCGATGTTTATCTAACTACGTGAATTGCTCATCGATCTTAAATCACACGCGGGATTTTCTGATCTGCAAGGTCGATTAGAAAGCGGAAGAAAGGTGATCTTGGACCATAATCGCACACTGCAAGACACGAAAATAAATTTGATTCCTATTTATTAGATCCATTCGAAATCGCAGATTGAAATTGCTTAAAGACATAATTTTTTGTCAGTTTTTTTTTGTTGTTGTTGTTTTTCTATTTTCCAACGCAAAGTTTTGGCAGCAGAAGTTGTCGAATTCGCTACACAATCTGAATGGCTTTTGTTGGCTTTAATTTGTCACTTCAAACGAGCCTTTAAATCTGATTGGTTGAATTGTTTCAGTCTTCCATTCTCGTTCTCTTCCATTCCATGCGAACGTAATAGCTCAATTTTTTTCTTGATTTCTTGCGTTCCTGTAAAGTTGTTTTTATTATCCGGTTTTTGCAGTGGGTTTTTTTTCCCTCAGGTGACAAAGTTATCTTTGTCCAGCCGAGTGGTGGATGAACAACAAATTGAGCGGCACTTTACTGCTGCTGATCTACGCGAGCTGTACACGTTTACCCCGGATGTTCTTGACGAGGATAAGGAGGCGGAGAAGGAGAAAGAGAAGGATGCCGGCGAGAAAAGCAAAGAAAAGGAAGAAGGAGCTAATGTGACTAATGAGGAAAAGGAAAATGATAAAGGCGATGAGACAGAAAAGGAGGGCGATAGAGTCAATGAAACTGAGAGAGAAAATGGAGAGAAGCAAGAAAAGGACGAGGAAGACTTAAGGAATGGAGGAAAAGACAGTGCAAGCGAGCAAGCAAAAGGAAGCGATAAACCCGAAGAGCGACCTTCCTTGCCTCTCCCAAAGGTAACGATAATCTTACTGATCCTCGACTGAAGTTATCTGCTTACAAATCAATGACATCTAGTCGCTGATGCAATAATTCCTGTCTGTGTGACCTTTCGTGTAAAAAGCCCGTCAAGAAAGGATCAGTAAGTTCTCTGATCGTCCCTTATCCAACATGGCCGCTGAAAATGAAATCACTGACAGTAAACGTGAAAAGCAAACTATTACCAGCCACCAAAGAAGCTCAACGCATTCATTAACCCGTTACACCTTAACGTCAGTATGCAAACTCTCCATACTGTGCTCTATACATTTCTTAAGGTGCTGACAAGGAGAATTTGTTTAACAATCAAGAGCTCTTTTAGTTAATGGTCCTTTCCTTGACTCTCGTGACCTGAATGTGTGATTCAGAAATGACACTGTAAAGAGAAATCAGGTGCTAATCACTCTTAGGGGTTATAGGGCTAACTTTGCAAATTTTTTTCACCCACTGAATTTTAAGTAGAGAAATTTTAATTTTGCTGACATTCGTATATTTGAGGTAGTGTAGTCTGAAGTTGCATTCCGTGTGATAATCAACCAAGCTTTTATTGTCGTAAACAGAAGGTACATGTCTTTCAGAAAGGAATCTTACAGATATTAGCCCGTCCCACCCTGCCTGCCTTTCCTTTTGACCATCGCTCTCTACCCTTGATTCAATTTTCTTTCTCTCCTCAGCCTTGCGCTGCTGTAACAACCGAATATGATAGTATGAATTTCACCCACAAAACATTGAGCGCTCGCCAAAATTCTCGCCTGCTCTGCAGGCTATGAGAATGGTGGTATATTGTACACACAACAAAATTGCATTACCTGGTTTAAGTTAACTCACTCGCACGATGATCGTTTTGTAGGACGCTGTACTAGCAGATTTGATCGCACGCCTTCATCCCAGATGGATAGTGAAGTACCATGAGCATGACTCCATGCTACAGAACATCGAGTCTGAAGAACTGACTCCGGAAGAAATGAAGCAGGCATGGGAAGCTTACGAAGCCGAGAGATCTGGCCAAATAGGTGTGTGATGTAATCTATACTGTCTGTCATTCCACTCATCTCCATTTTCTCTCTCAAAATGCAGATAAAATTGAACGAGCTTTTGGAGTTGACCTCCTATGACACGAATGATTTATTTGGCTAACCGTCCTTCTTCCGGTCATGAATTGTGCTAACAGAAATCATTATCGCTAGTGAAATCATTAAAATTATGTCTGTTATAATCATGCGGGGTCAAATTGTTTTTGCCATTGTCGTTTTGGGGTGGGTTACCAAATTGTGCGTATTACTTTTTTTTGTCCTGACCCAGCCAGTCCTTCAGTCTTTAATCCTCGACAGGGTTCGCACGGGTCCTGGAAAACTTGCGACGTCGTGGAATTTTATTCGACTTTTTCCAGGACTGGGAGGTACTGGAAAAAAGACTACAGGTCGTGGAAAATCTTGTAAATCTGCTTTACTCAAGCGCTGAAGTTTTCAGAATTTACATTATAAGTGTATGTAGACATAAAAGTAATTGATTTTTAAATTTTTGAGAATGAAAGAGTTTAAGGTGAAAATTTGGAACCCTGGAAAATTAAATCTAAGTCTCGGGAAAGTTCTGGAAAATTCCTTGAAATTTGTTCCCGAAAAAGCGTACAAAGCCTGCCTCAATCCTCCTTTATTCCCACTCAGTCTTAAATTAAACCTTGGTTGATTTTTCCACCACTCACCTCTCTTGAAAAGGGATTCTTTTTCAGTGCACACACTTTTTCGCGAGTCCCGAAAGTGTTTGTCTCGGAGAGAATCCGCGGCAAAGGTTGTGAAATGATTGCTTCCAAATGCAATACTGAGAGAAAATAGGGTTGGGGGGAAATGAAACTATTATCTTATTACTCCATTCGATGTAGTGTCAGTTCATATGAAGTTTTTCTGTATTCTTGCTCTTAGTCCCAGCACACAACCGCAATCAGGAGCCTCCACCGGGGAGCCACGCCCACACTCAGATGCAAGTGGCGCAGAGAATCCGAATAAACTCGGATATGTTGAAGCAGATGCAGCAGATTCAACAGCTGCAGGAGATGCAGCAACGTCAGGAGATGCAGGAGCGCATGCAACGTGTACGGCAAGAGCAGGAACGGTTGTACCAGCAGCGCCACAGCGCTTTGTATCAACAGCACCAGCGACAGCAGGACGAGATACGCCGGCAGAATGAACTGCGATTCATTCAACACATGACGCAACAGCCTGCCGCACAGCGCTTCCAGATCGGACAGAATACAGTAAACGTGCAGACGACTCTTCCGCCGGCCCCACAGGCCCCCCAGGTGTCATTTGCTCGGCCTGGTTTGACGTATCAGCCTCTGAGGGTAGGTTTTCAGGTACCGGCGAATGTTCGCCTCGCTGCCCCTGGAGCTGGAACTATTCCTACCACAGGAACCCCATCCACTATAACCTTGACTCTTGGACCAGCTACGCAAGTCAGTACCGTCAGAACTTTGTCGAACAACGCGCAGGTTTCGCGGCCATAACCGTGTTGTATCTCATTGTGAAAACGCTGCGTTTCGCGAGAATAGGAAATTTCGACGTGCATAGAAAATGTCTCTTGGACTTTCCTTTGTGATAAATGATCTTCAAGGGCTTGTTTTTTATTTTAAGTGAAGTGTTTATAGAGGCTTATATTGGTATATGATGTGTGACTTTATGTATCTCGGGAAAATGACTTAATGTTGCACTTAATAACGGCCAAGGTAATACTCACTCATCATATGTCATGCGTAGCGATTATTCTAAGCGCGGAATACATCATACAGAAATTATAGTGCTTTCATTATTTATCGAAAATTAAATACGAAGCATTGATATATAAATGTGTCTGCTTTCTAACAATCTCCTTTTCGGCGAGGGACTATTCTGATTCCGTTCTTGAGAGGGGGGGGGGTCGGGAGAAAGGTTGGCAGTTATGCAAAATGATTCCTGAAATGGAAAATTCAGGGAAATAAATGCAGCACAAAAAATTTAGGAAGGCAGACACAGGAACGAAAAAATTTTTCCCTTTCGTTTCACCGTATACGGCAGTACAAAATCGCTACATCGAACGTATTTGAGGATTAGTAACAATTTTTTCTCGACGTGTGTGGCGGAATTTGCAGACGCTCCAATTTTTTTTTACTTGTTTATTATTTTTTTTGTATTCTAACATGTTTTTGAATGATTGACCGATTTACTCTTCTATTTCCCTTCGTGAGGTATATATGCGTTGAACCAATCGGCACTGATTCTCGATGTTTGTTGTGTTACAAGAATCTTTCCAGCAAATTTCTATTCTAGACCCAAAGAGCACTATCTTTTCCTTGCTGGTCGCAGTAGTATTCGTTCTTCAGAGTAACGAAGAAACCTGCTTGGGGCAAGTACTGTTTAATTGCACTCTTATTGTTCTTTCTCCGCACGGTAATTACGATTCTCAAACCTGAACAGATTTTTTAAATGGCCACCGCGCTGCCGTTCATGTTCTGAAGCAGAAAATAAATGTAAGAATATTCTCCTGGGTAGTTGTACCCAAACGATTGTTCTTCCCAGGCATAGTTAATACTGTAGGAAAATTGCGAATGCTCTCAACTAAGTTTTGCGTTGAGTAGGACTTAGAGCCGCCGCAGTTACTCAGTCAGGTTCGATCAGTCGTTATAGCCGCTGTAGTAAGAGAGTCATTCATCAAATGTTTAGAGCAGAGCGATATGGAAGCTCCTAAGAAAACTTCGTCCTAGAATTAACTTGCGCAGGGGCCCATTAACCAGCGCTTCCATCTTCTATACTTACCCTCTTGAGTCAACCTTATCCCGTATCTTTTTATTTTTAGAAGCACCTCCCACGGGGTTTTTCGCGGGTGTTTGCATAATAGCCAAACATAAGAGAGTTGTGGTCCTCTATTGTTTACGTCACATGCGGGCCGCACAAAAGTATTACAATTATGCGAACGTCAGCGTCTTTTCGCGGGAAATTGAAGAACTCCCATTATATCTCAGTTCTGAAAATAGAAAGATACGGGACAAGGTTGAGTCAAGGGTACATTGGTATGGAGGCTCCGGGTAATGGGCTCCTGACTTGCGCCTGTGGAATAAATCAGAATTAAAAAATGTGTTTATTGGTTGATTCAATACCAAATTCTCAGAACTTACATAAGAATTATATGGATGACAGTAAGGAGAATTACAAATGAGATATGAGGAATGATTGAGTTTAAAAAGTGATACATTTCTTTCATCACCAACCGTAAGGCTGAGTTTTTGGTCTCTTTATTCAGAGATGTATGTAAATACGTAACTGAGTTATTTGGTAACGATAATCACCAGCTTTTGCATCAAATGTGTAAACGCAGTACATCAAACTTGAAATGGAATTAAATTGTATTATTGAAGCAATCGGTGGGGCTGTTCGGTTTGTTTTTGGAATATTGATTGTTAACAGCTTTGATTTATTGTAGCACCATTCGGGCATTACAAACCCATTCTGCATGACAGGAACATTAAATGATTAACCCATAAATAACACCTACTGACGTGGTGAAACACTTGCGTTCATGGACAGCAGCCGAGGCAATGCATCATGCAGTGCGTTGGATTCAAGTAATATGAAATATCGGCGCGTTCTATTTTCTCTGTAGCCAAAAGCCATTTTGTAGCAAAGGATATATAAGCTTTTGTCTGGTTTAACCCTACTCCTTCGCGGGCTGGCTGAAGACAACACGAACTCCTCCTCAAATGCAGAATAATCTTAATAAATTTATCTCACATTTTCACAACGCCCGTGATGTCACGGTCAGCGACTTTCCAGCTTAAAGCAGAAATTCAAAATGGCGTCGGATCCTGGTTTTGTCCCGACGGCTGTGAATGTGGAAATTGAAGGCGATATAACTGTGCCTGGTGCCCCAGAGGAAGACGAAGAACCTAGCACTCTAGATGAACCTGTTTCTGTTACTTTAGTGAGTTTGATTTCAAACAGTTTCATTCGTATTTGGTGTCGAAAATTCTAGTTGTAGCGTGTTTCCAGTTCGATTGTTGAGGTTGGCTCTGAATGAAATAACTTTTTTCGTTTCTTATTTCCTCTTTTCGATATAGAAGCGAGATTTGACCGCAGTTGGCAAGAAATTCCTTCATGTACTAGTTCCAAGACAAAGTAAAAGCCTCCTGCGTGATTGTAAGATGTACTTTATATATGGCTGTCACGTATGAATGATCCGATCGTAATATCACTTAGCATTAAGACTATCTAACATTTTGCGACGCTCATTAAAGGCTGACTGGTAATCACTGGTTATTCCTCTATTTTCAGGGGATCTATGGGGTCCTTTAATTCTTTGTGTTCTTCTGGCGATGTAAGTAATTTATGCACTCGAAGACAATTTTTTATCTAAGTTTACCTTTTGTCTTAAATTGCATTTAATTTATCTTTGCAACTAGCAGTTAAAGTGTTTGTAAAGGTCTTTTTTATCATTCTTTTTTAAGAAAGAAGATTTAAACGCTACGAACTTAAATCATAGCTCAAAAGCTAAATATGAACTTATATATCTGATTAATTCAGTCCTTTTAGCTACATGTGCATGTTTGTATGTGGTAATATGATATAAGCATACTTGCAACAACTTGAAGTAACCATGGAGGCTACCTGACGTGTATTTTTCCTCTCAATAGAGGTGTATAGATTTCTTGTTGTTATGCAGTTACCATAATTTAACTCTAGAGTCAAATATAATCTTGACATTAGTTTTTGGTTCTTTATTTAAAGCCATACTTGTTGAGTAGGTTTTTACCATGCATTGTGAGGCACATACAATGAATGAAATGGAAATTTGAGTTTGTTCTTATATGCTTCGTTAGGTTGCTGTAGTTCTGTGTACTCAGCTTAATGATTAACCCTTTGACTCCCAAGACCTCATAAGTAATTCTCCTTACTGTCTGCCAAAGGATTCCCATTATGTTAGTTTGGAGAATATGGTGTTAGATTGACTAGTAATCCCATGATTGATATATTATTCCTTATTCTCATCACTTATCTGGTTGATATTGTATTGATATTGTAAGGAGAAATTCTGTCTTGGTCACTCATGGGAGTTAAAGGGTTGAGGAGGTATATGTCTAAAGAAAATTTGGTGCTGTGTTGGTGGCAGGAGTTGGGGGTGAGGGTATAACAAGGTAATCTGGTTTTATTAAAGGATTTGATGATGTAAAGTGGCCACTGTTGAGAGTTTCTAAAGCTTGTGTTTCAAGCATTGCTGGTTAACATACATTGAAAGTGTTTCATTTCTGCTGTTTACTATTTTCATGTAATTTCCATTAGGATGCTGCAAGGCCATACTGTGGTTGACAGTTACAGTGATGGAGGACCTCAGTTTGCTGAGGTGTTTGTGGTGGTCTGGGTTGGAGCTCTGGTTGTTACAGTTAATTCCAAGTTACTTGGTGGAACAATGTAAGTACAAGCTAGTCCAGTCTCTTGAGATAAAAGATTGAAAATCGAAGTGCAACCTGGGTTGAAATTCATATTTAGATAGAAAGGCATTCTCTGGGTAAAAGTTATCTCATTGAGTAAAGTACTTCACCTCTCAAGCTTAAAACTTTGAAAACTGTTATAGAAGTCTTTGGACCAAACACTGGAATAAAAAAAGTTTGAAACAGGAAGTGACTTTGTATATAAAGGTGAATTATAACCCTGGCCACTGTCCTGTTTTTATTTTAGGTTATTGATAATCTCAGTGCATTAAAAGAAATGTTCATTTGTCTGATTAAGTTTATTAACCTTACCTTGTTTCTAAATGAAGCAAAGCAGATACAGCAAAACCTCTCCACTACTAAAACTTTAGGAACAGTGAAAGTGGCCCTTTTTTGTCCATGGATAATAGAATATTTCAGATTAAAAAAATAATTCAAGCAAAGCAAAAATTCTGATAATAGACTAGTAGAAAGGAACACATTCTACTTAAAAAAAAATTTATGCGAGTCTACCAGTCTGTGGAATGTCTGCTTTAAGTCAGGCTTTTCATCTGTTTGAATGAACTTTAAATATTTTTGCCAAGCTGTTCATCAACCAGTGATCAACTGGAAATTAGGGAGAGGATAGTTTGGATGTTAAGGCATAATCTAATTACTATTACGTATTGTGCCAGGTGGCTTTATGGTCACACAATTTATGGTTAATTGAGAAATTCCCTTATAAATTAAGTAACCCTTGAAATATCATTTGTGCCTTTAAAATAATGATTTTAAAAAAAGTAAGAACATGCATTCTCATCCACAGAATTTCCCACACTTTCTAAAAGAATTTTATCAGAAGCAATGTCAACAATATTAATTTTCTTTTTTCCTATTTTTTCAGATCCTTTTTCCAGAGTGTTTGTGTTCTAGGATATTGTATTCTCCCATTGGATATAGCATTGACTGTGTGTCGGTTGATTTTATTCACTAAGCAGACACTGGCTTTATTTGCTGTTCGATTTATTGTTGTCATATTAGGATTTGCTTGGTCGACATTTGGTGAGTGAGGTGTTGTTATTTTACATGATTTTTCCTTTCTGTAGCTTTGTTATACATTGCCAGTCAATATGTTTCAACCCTTTTTACCCTAAAATCAGTATGCCAGTTTTCCATACTGTTCTGTATACATTTCCTATGGTGCTTACACGGAGATTTTGTCTAACAATCAAGAGCTTCTTTAGTTTGGAAGCATTTTCTTTATTCTCATGACTGGAATGTTTGATGTAGGGGTAATATAATTGGGAGAAATTACATGCTTATCACTAATAGAGTTAATATATCACTAAAACATTGTGCAGTCTTTGGACAAAAAAAAGAAGGTGATGCCCAAGTCAATGGTGGTGTTTGAATTTGTAATGGTGTTATGAGGTGTTCACAGATGCATGAAATAATTGCAAATGTTGTTTTATATGTGTACTTAGATGTAATTAGACCATCCCTTTAAAATGTTTCATTTCTCATAGCCTTCCCTCTCAAAAAAGTGATTTGATTGCTGGCCAAGAATTGAATATAAACAAACAAAACAAGAAAAGAAAAAAAAAGGGAAGAAAAAGGAATGAAAATGCCAGGGAAGCCTAAATCCAGGAAAAATCCTGGATGCTAAGTAAGAAGGCCAGGCTGTACTTTCTCATGTGCATGCTGATGTTTTCCAACCCAAATGTTTTTTAACTATCAAATGTTTTTATGACTACTGAATCAGACATGAATGAGTTTTTTTTTGCAAAATAAAACCTTAATGTGTTTTTTTAATATGTAAAGTAGGGAATGTAAATTTAGAATAACTTTTATTATTTTTCACTTCTTCAAAAAAAAAAACCCAAAAAAATACAAATAGGGTCGTTTTAGCACATGGTCAGGAAACAAGATATTTTGTAGCCTATGTGGGCTGATAAAAAAATTGCTCCACCACTTGATGGAATTTTTACTTTGGGGAAAGTAAGCTATCTAGCAATCATAAGGGAACACATTTTCTTCGCATGTCTGTATAAAGTAACATCTCTAATGGAGGTCAATGTTCTTTTGCAAGAAGGTCAGCTATTTAACAAGGATTTTTGAAACAACAACTTTGTTCTTTCTCTGTGTTCACTGTATTAACTTCACTTTTTTATTGTTTTGGTTCTAAATATATATATATATTCTTTTTTTATTGTTTTGGTTCTAAATATATATATATATATTTTCTTTTGTTTTTGTTCTCTTCTTCTTTTTTCTATCCCTAGTTATTTTCCCTATACTCTGTGAGATATGAAAGATTTTTCCTGATCGAATCACAATTTCAAAGCAAAACTCTAACGATTCGAGTCCGTACCACAATTCTCTGATAAATATTTATAACCCTCCCGTTTCTTGATATACATTCATTTTACTAAGTATTAATAACAGCCCTATTTCTGCATAAATTTTATAAAATTGAATTCTGTTTTTCCCCTTTTGCTACTCTGCATCGTTTTGCAAACTGGTCATTCGAATATCAATCTGTCAATACGAGTAAGAATTGTGAACATCTCTTTTGACTCAGAGAGGTGTTCCACATCCTTGATATTTGCTTATTGTAGCGTGTCATTTGCCAACACGCTAATATTGTCACGAAATGTTCCTCTCAGAACAGTACTACTTAAAAAATCAATCATTAATAATTTTTCTAATTACCTGTAGACATAAGTAAATTACAGTCGTGTTACTGATTCTGTCCTTGTGATATTAAGCCGGCGCCTGTCGATCAGGTTGTGGTGCGAGTTGATCGCCTCGTTGTGTTTCTTCTGGTTTTTGAATCGCTGGACACGCTCCCTCATCGCAGGCAATGTATTCGCTGGAGGGTTCATCGCAGGATTTTCCGCCATCGCTTGGCCTTGGATTTGTACATGTCCTCGTTCTGATCCTAGTTCCTTTGCCACACGTTACGGAACATGGTCCGTATTCGGTCCACTCCGTGTAACCACCATCAACAGGACACGGACCGCCGCATTGGGTATATTCCTCTGCTGGATCCGTGCAAGGTTTTCCACCTTTGCTCGGCGGCGGGTTTGAACATGTCCTCCTTCTGGTCTTAACTCCCTCTCCACACGTTACAGAGCACGGCCCGTACTCACTCCACTGCGTATAACCGCCATCAATAGGACACTCATGAGTATTACAGGGTTGTTCTTGCCGCGGTGGTCCCTCACAAGGCTTCCCTTCGAAAACCGCTGGTGGATTGTTGCATTGCCTAGTTCTAAATTGCTTTCCTCCGCCACACGATCTGTCGCAAGCCGAAAAGCTGCTCCATTCGCTGAATTTTCCGTCGATGGGACATATTTTCAAGAAGCAAGGCTTTTTGTCATTGTTTGGGCCGAAACGATAACAGTCTTTACCGTATCTCCCAGGCGGTGGTTGTGCACAGTTTCGATATCGTGTTTGAAATCCCTCCCCGCAGTCTTTCGAGCAGTTACTCCACACAGACCACTCCGTATAGCCACCATCAATGGTGGCTTTAAGAAACGAGTAATATCCTCCGAACGCTACACAGCACAGAACTACTGAAAGCCCAAGCGTAGGCAGAAACCTTCTAGAACACATGATCGTGTAATGTTTTGATTTTACGCTCTATTTCCGAACAAAACCTTTCATAATAACAACTTTCGAGTCTTCGAAACTAGTGTAAAGCTAAACAACCGTGTCATTGTCAGGTTCCGTATTGTTATTGGTGAAAAATATGCATTATTCACACGTGGCAGGCGACATCTTGTTTTGCATAAATTTCTCTTTCAAGTTTCTCATCGTTAAAGAGTCGCAATTTTAGCTTCAGTGCGACATATTTTCTTTTCGACTATCACAATTGAGAGTCTGGAGGACCTAATGCGGAAGAATAAGTACGAAACGATATGTCTTATATCAACTCTTAGCGGCGTTGAATATAAAGTAAACACGTTGTCAGATTCCTTTCGAATATTACAGTGTTGCTTAGAGTCCTACAAGGCAAATAAACTGGAATAGAAAATCAATCGCGTCTCACAGCGTGAAGAGGGTCAGAAATCGTAAGCAGCGTGAAGTCCGCTTTCTACTGACTTTATTTTTTTTTCTTTCCATAGGTCTCGTTTACGCTTAATTTATAATTTTTGTAGTTTCAGTGTTTTTTTAAATGTTGACACAGTATTTGCTCTGGCATTTTTGCCTTTCGGCGAACGAGTAATTATGCGTGGAAGGAAGGTTAGCCAGAACTCAAGGCTTTCCAGTGTTGTAAACGAGCAAGATCAAGAACATGCAATAGAAAGTTCTCAAACTCAAGTACAACACTTTTGCTGGGGTCAGACGTCAAGAGTTTTTCTTCGAAAGAATCGAGCCTTTTATTTTATTTTTGTTTTTCTTTTGATAAGGTATTGATTAACTATCGTATCCCCCAAAGCGTTCGCAGTTTCTCATGTGCTATATGTAAACTCCCTATAGAAACTTAACATTCTATTCTCCCCTTCACCGATTTACATATTTCTTTTTCCTTTATAGCTTCTGTGAAGTTCCTTGGTGATAGCCAGCCGGCAAACAGGAAAGCTCTCACAGTTTATCCTATATTCTTGTTTTACTTTGTCATCAGTTGGATGATTATTTCTCATTCGGGCTGAATACAGAAGCTAAATGCCTTTTGACAAGTAGGCAAACATCTTTACAGTCGAAGGTAGAAAGCGAACTTCCGGTTCACAAAAGTAAGGGTTTTGTCGAGGACTGTCATGTAGGCAACGAGTATTTCATGACAGGAGCAAACGAAATCGAGAAAGAAAAGCTGTGCAAAGTTGTGCAAAGCCGGTTTTATTATGTCTCTGGTTATTTAGAGAGAAGCGAGTCTTGTTCTTTTAGTTTCTTCACCACTATTGTTCACCAGTTGTTGTAATAGTCGTGCGGGTTGTCATGAAATCGTAATACTGCGTGACGAACCACCGTCACGCTTACCCAAAGAAGTACAGTAGTTTTGTTTATAATCCTCTCGGTCAGAAACTCGTCTAATCTTTTCCCTCTCCATTCAATAACGTATTTTTGTCTCAAAAATCAGCCTGATGAATCGTCGTGCTAGAGTTCTTTTATGAAGGAGAAAAAGTACTCCCAGTGAATGTGAAGTCTATACCTTTTTTTGTCATTTTTACAGACAAAGTGTTAGCGATCGGACTTGTCTGTATTCTTAGGCACATTGACAAGGCCTATAAAACATTAAAGAATTCAGAACGTTTAAAAAAATCAAGCAAACGAAACAAAATGAAAAGAAAAACACAAAACATGTCATGAAATAATTAATCAACTGAGCCAGCCAAACGTTACGAAACTGTTGGAAGCTGTTTCACGAACAAGAATATTATGACAATCGATGGGTGGAGGTTATTACCGACTTTAAAGTACGACTATTTAAGTTAAAGCTTTATGTAGTGCAAAATTGAAATAAAAGCACTTTTATATTGTTATTCTTAATTATCAGTTGTTTCGAATGGGCTTGATAAATAGCCGCTAGTTAGAAAGTGAGTCCAGGCTTCTTTTTTTTTCTCTTTTTCCTCGAGAACAACCGAAGACAGGCTTCGGGCAAAGCGAAAATCGAGGTTCTTCCCCCC